ATATATATATATATATATATATATATATATATATATATATATATATATATATATAAAATGCTTTTCCTCAGAGGAGCAGGCAACATTGTGGGGTGAAATAGCCAAGGTCAGAGGGAACCCAGGGTCTCATGGTGGCAGGGATGAGGAGAAGAGAAGAGTCCAGAAGTTCCAGTGTCACAAAAGCAATAAAAACAAGATTTTACAAAATGAAAGGAAAAAAAAAAAAACAACTAACCACAAATAGAAGTCTTGGCACTTTGTAACAGAACGGGTACTATACTTTATCTTAATTTAAAAACATGTTTACAAGTTGCAACTTCTATGAAAGTCGAAAAGACAAAAAATAAATAAAAGAGCGAGAGAGCGAGCGAGAGCGAGCGAGAGAGAGAGAGCAAAAAGAAATTCCTAAAAGCCGATTTATTTTTGTACAAAATAATAAAAAAAAAACCCACCACCAGATGTAGAATCCACTTCTGTTCCTGGAGGTGAGAAGGGGATCAGGAAGGCCATGGGTGAGGGCAAGGTCTTCGGAGGGAATTTGTGCTTCACCACTGGGGCTTTGCTTGGCAGGCAGGACTGTGGGATTTTTGTGTTTCTGCCATGTCCCCCACTCCCATTCTGTCCCTTTTTTGGCTCTGATTTAGAGATGTCTCATCACCCACTAGCCATACAATGGCCACCCATGTCTGTGGGGACCCTCCTTACTGACTCCCCAGCTCAGGGATGGGCCCAAGAGAGGGCTGGCCTTCCAACCAGCCAGAGCAATGCAGTCCCCCCCAGGCTGTTCCCCTACCCTCGCCCATTTCGGGGCTTCCCGCCCTCCAACATGGCCGCCCTTCCTTGTGGCCACTGAGGAGCTGCCATTTTGGATATGCCATCCCCGTCGTGGTGGGTAACAGGGGGCCCCACCTCCAGGGCCTTACATCCCCCAGGCACCCCTCTTTTTACATAAAGGCACTGACTGTCATCTGGGGGCTGGCAGCAGCCTCCCCCACCTCTGGATCCCCAAAGGCCCGGTGTTGACCGAGCCACAGGCCACGGACGGGCCAGGGCAGGGGAGACCATGTTGCCAGAGGCCAGGGCACCCTCACCCCGACTCCCTCTTGCATATGCAATGCCTAGTATGGGACCCTGTATATAGATACCCTGCTGAGCTGAGTCCCTTCCTTGTGATAGCCCGAGGTAGGGGGTGCCCCTGCTCCCCCGTCCTGCTGCTGGCCCGTCTCCTGGTACCCCTTTGCTCTGTGACAAACCCCGTCTTGTCATCTCCTTTTATGTTTTATTTTTTTAAAGGGAAACTTTTTCAGAAGGCAACTTTCGTCATTGTTTCTGTAGGATAGTTTTCGTCTCCTCCTGGTCCCCCCCAGCTCGTCAGCCCCCCAAGTGTCTCAGGACCCCCCCCCCTGAGAGGGATAGCAGGGGAGCCCAGGGCCAGGTGGCCTCGTTCACACCCCAGCGTCACTGGGTGAGCTCTTTCAGAGAACCATCTGTGGAGTCTGAGCAGAAAGTTCGAGCGCCCAGGCCAGGGAATCCCCCCAACCCCCCAGCTTCCAGAGAGGTTCCCTGAGGGGATAACCCTCTCCCCTACCCACACACCTCCTCGCAATAAAACCAACTGAAAAATTACAACCGTCGTCCTGGCCAGTAGGGGCGACTGGACTTGGGGGAATTGAGGCCTCTGGGACTATGGCGGGGGTAAGGGCTGAACCCCGCCGAGCACACTTTAACACAAAGCTCCTTGGGAATTGCACTAAACCCCTGCCCCAGCTCTGCGCCCAGCTTTTACCAGCCCTGCCCACCCACTCCGCCTTAACCCCTCTTCTGCCCGCCAGCCTGTCCCAGGGGCCACAGCATTTGCATGGGCCCAGAGCCGGGACCCCTGCCCACCCAGCCCAGCACCCCCAACTCCGCGCAATCACATACTGTATATAGATGTGGATCAATTTTATTTTTATTCTTTAAATTAAGGTCGTGATAAAGTGTTGCCAAAGATACTGCTGAATTCTCGCGTTTCAGGAAACAAAAAAAATATTTGAGGGGGAACGTGCTTACTGGTTGGAAAGGACACAGCAAAAAGTTTTTTTTGTTTGGTTTGGGGTTTTTTGTGTTTTCTTTTTTGGGGTGTTTTTTTTTTAACTGCCTGGTACAAAAAAAAAAAAAAGAAAAAGCGAAATTGTTATTTCCATCATCTTGATGAAGTTGCGTGTGTGTATGTGTGTGTGTGTGTGTGTGTGTGTGTGTGTGGTCCAGGCTGGGGACTTCAGACAGGGGCTCTGGGCCAGGGGCAGTGGGCCTGGCAGGATGGGGGACTTGGAGCCCCTACCTGGAACAGTCTCCAGCCTTGGGGACTGGGAGAGAGAGATTAACACCCTTGCTGCTGCTCCCTGCCTAGCCCCCCACCCCAACCCCGACCCTGCCTTTTGAGATTAAGAGGAAAAAAAAAAGGCAAAAAAAATAAAAATTTAACCAGTGAATGTAAAGTGCTGGACCAGGCCCAGCCTGGCACGTTGTGGGTCTGTGCCCAGCTGGGCTCCAGTGGGCCATACCAAAGTCTGCCCCCTCGGGCGGCCCGCCCAGGAGACCCTATGTGGCCATCTCGTCTTGTCACCCTGTTTATACAGGGCTGTCCCTTTGCTTCCTTTCAAGGGGGTCTTGGGTGGAGGGGAGTGTCCCCCAGCCCCTCCTGGGTCTTCTGGGGAGTCTGCACTACTGAGACCCATCTGCCGTGACAGGAGTGGCCACGTCGCACATGGAGGGCCAGGGCCCCCCTAGGACCGAGGCCATCCAGGCAGCCAGGATTGTAGGAGGCGAGACAGAGTGAAAGGAAAAAAAAAATTTAAAAACCAATAAAAAAAGCAAAAATCCTATTTTTTGAGAAAGAAAGATATTTATATTTGCAGTTTTATTTTAAAAAGTTATTTAAGCTGAGGAAGCAGCCTTCCTGAAATGGGGGTGTTGGCTGGTGCAGGACGGGTCAAGGCCTGGGGGCTTGGACGCCCAGGAGTCATAACCTCAGAGTTAAGACTAGCTCGCACTAAATATATAGATTTACATGGGGGATGGGGAGCAGGGCCAGGAGATGAGGGGGCTGGGGAGACCCCCAATCCCCTGGCCGGGGCTGCCTGGAGGCCATGGCCAGGGGTCCTGATGCCCAGGTGCCCCCCAACTCCTCCCAGGCCCAGACACAAGGTGCCTTGGACTTTGGGGGGCCAGGCCTGGTGAATGGGGGATCAGGGGCGGTGCCCCTGGGGGCACAGAGCACAGACATTCCATAGACTGTATTTGAGTCTTTATAAAATGTGGGAGATTTAAAAAAGTCAATTGATAAAAATGCACTTTTGGGGGGTTGGGGGGAGAAGCTTTAAAAGTAATAAAAACAAAAGCAAAAAGACAAAAGATGATGAAAAACCGGACAAAAAAAATCATTTTTCTTGTACATAAAAAACCACTAAACGCAGCCTGTTACGACCGCTGCCGCCTCATTTGCCTGATTTTGATGTTCTTTGTGTTTTGTTGGGGGAGACTGGGAAGCGGGGATGGAGGGTGGGGAAGGAGGGTTTGGTGGGCCCCTTCCCTGTGGGTTGGGCCCCTCACCCACATCACTTCGGAGTCCCCAACTTGGGTTCCAGCGAGAGGACCCCAAGCTCAGCCTTACCCTTCCTGCCAGGCCTGGGAGGTGGAGTAGGGGAGGCAGGGCTATGGATGCAGACCCTGCCTCTGGGCTCCAGGGTGGGGTGGGTGGGGTTGGTGTCGCTGGCAGTGCCAGGGCCTGGGTTCTTACAGAGGAGGTGACACCCCCAGGCTCAGGCCAGTGGCTCCAGGAAGGGGCCCAAGGGACAGTGAGGGCGGGCAGGGAGAACCGGCCAGGCGGGCTCCTGGGTCACCTCCAACTGCAAGGTTTCTGGAGGCCCTGGGTGGAGTATTGGCTGCCAGGGGTGTCCCAAGTCTGCCAAGGCCCCTAAGATGCAGCCCCACATTGTGCCCCAGTGACATGCTCAAGGATCTGAGCTGGCTGCTCCCCTCATCTCCAGGAATTCGGGCTGGGGCCCACTCACTGGGGAGGGTGGGCTATAGCCCCCCTCTCTGGGTTGGGGAGTCACCAAACAGGGCCACTTCCAGGGACCTGGGGAGAGCTCTCCTACCTCCTGTCTTCCATCTGGAGTCAAGCCAGCAGGGCCCAGGGTGGGGGTGGGTGATAGAGGGGCACCAAGGATGGCCGATGGTCACAGCCTGGGAGAGGACAAGAGGGCTCTGTGAAGTGGGCTCTTCTTAGCAGCCACAGGGAATCTGTGGGACCTGGCTCAGCCCTTGGCAGGGAACACCACGAAGTGGAGGATTTTGGGTAGGAGTCTTCCCTCAGGGGCAGGGTCACTCACCTGTCTGCTCATGTGGTCACATGGCTGCGGACACTGGAACCCAGACCTCCAATTCAGGCTGGGTGGGGATTGGGAGCTAGCAGTTCCACAGCCAGACATCACGGAGACCTGAACCAGCCACAAGGAGACCAGAGCCTCCTCATCAGGACAGCGATGGAAGCAGGTTCAGCCGCCACTCAGCTCATGCAGCCTCTTCAACTCATGCTCCCACGTCTCCTCAAATGAGGGAGAAGCTTTAGTTTTTAATTGAGATATTCATACAGAATTCACCTTTGCAAAACCAATGGTGTTAGCATATTGGAAGAGTTGTGCAACTGTCATCACTATTTCCAGAACATTCCATCGTCCCAAAAAGAAGCCCCATCCCCATCAGCAGTCACTACCCATCTCCCTTCCCTAGCCTGACACCCACAAATCCACTTTGCATCTGTGGATTTGAGTGTTATGGACATTTCATACAAATGGCACACCGTGTGGCACACTGTGTCTGGCTTCTTTCACTGAGCTCGAGGTCCACCCACGTAGCAAGTGTTAGTGCTTCACAACTTTTCATGGCTAATATTCTGGTGCATGGATGAACCACGTTTTATACATTCTTCAGTTGATGGACATTGGGCCTGTTCCCACCTTTTGGCTATTGTAATGCTGCTGTGAATATTTGTACATGAATATTTCATGTGAATGTAGGTTTTCATTTCTCTTGGGGGGAGATACCTAGAGTGGAATTGCTGGGTCACATGGTAACTCCATGTTTAACTTTTTGAAACTGCCAGACTGTTTCCACAGCAGCTGCCCCGTCTTACATTCCCACTTGGTGTGCAGCATGAAGGTCCCAGCTCCTCTCCATCCTTGCCAGCACTTGTCACTCAGTCTTTTGGTTTCTAGCCCTCATAGTGGTTGTGATTTGCATTTCCCTGGTGAGGTGGTGGTGAGCATCTTTTTAGGAGCTGAATGCCTTGTGCGGCCCAGCAGATGGACACTGACCCCAGCAGTTCAAAGGTAAATCTTCCTTGACTAAATGCGGCACCTTTTGAATCCTGAATGTCACACAACAAAACGGAAAGAGAACTGTGGTTGTAGAGGATCGGTCCTTTGGCCCCCTCACCCCCAGCTGATGCCCTGATGTACAGAGAGGCTGACACCTTAATGGCTTCACCTTGACCTTTTTATTTGCATTTTTTAAAAACAATTAAATTAGAATACAAATATTAGAAAACAGCGGTCCTCAGCTGCCAGTGCAGACGGAGGGGAGCCGGACTGCGCAACCGAGTTTATACAGTAAAACTGAATTTGCCGTCAACCAGATTTATGTCCCTTTTGTCTTTAGACCTGAAATGATATTGCTTCCTGACTAAGGAGTTCTGTTTATACAAAGGAAAATTATTCTGGGGCTGGGAGGGTGGGGGTAAGGATGGGGAAGAAAAAAAGAAAACAAGTGCGGGCAGAGGTGGTCTGGAGAAGCAAGCGTGGCCTGTGGAGGGCTGGGCACCCAGCTTTGAGTCCCTGGAGGCATCTGGGGCGGCTATGGTAGCCTCCATGGTTGCTGGACCTCCAAAGGCCAAGTGGGCAGCTTAAGGGCAGTCCCCAGCCCAGTCCTGTTGGAAGACAAGAGTGAGGCTCCCAGGGGAGGGGGTGCCGGGCAGGCCTCGTACCCGTCGGAAAACCCAAGAGCAAGAAGAGGGGGAAGGAACCACCCCAAATCAAGAAGAGGGGGTGAAAGTCCCTGCTGCCCCTCGGAGGTGGCCACCCTCCCAGCGGTGGCGGCACCTGTGGACATCTGCGCTGTTCCGTAGGGAAGTTAACCTGAATTGGAGTTACCGAGGTAGCTGGCTAGAAAACTGAGACACCCCCCCCACGCCACACGGTGCAGCACCCTGGGACCCCACCTGCTGCAGGGGGCCCTGGCCACATGCTGGGTCTTCAAAATACCAAGTTATTGCACTTTCAAAAAATACAACACATCTGTGGCTAAACCCTCCCCAGCCCGCCCATGCCCCAACCACCGCGACCCTCCACCGCCCCCCTCCCTGACCCAACCCATTCCATGGCTTCTTGGCTAAAACGCTCGCAGATCAGCAGCGCGTTCCAGGGTCTCTGGGCAAGAGGACACGTTCGCAAAAGAGAAGAAAAGCAAAGGAACAGATGAATGTCCAAGTCATGACCAGGGAGCCTGTCAGTAAGTCCTCCCTGCCACCCCCACCAACCCCAGGTCCCTCTGCACCAGCTGGAATGGTCATTGGAAGAGGTGGGGCGTTGGGGAGAGCGCAGTGTCCTGGGTCCCACCCGTTCCTCTTCAGGGCTTCGATTCTGGCCGGGAAGCAGCTGTGTGGGTGGCTTGCCTTGTTTTTTAAGAGTCTGATTTCTTTTTGTTTCAATTTTCTCTTTTTGTACTTTTTTTTTTTTTTTTGGTCATTTTACTTTTTTTTAATCCTCCGATAGGAAAGTCCAGAGGTACAGGTGCCAGGAGCCAGGAAAAGGGGTGGAAAAACCATATGAATAAAAAGAAAAAGAAAAATCACTCCTCCCTCTGCACCCCAAGGCCCGCCTGCGCCCCTCCACGTGGTGAGCACCAGGAAAGTTGAGTGTCCGGCCAGTGGGTGGCGGCAAGCGGTCAGCAGGCCGACACCAGGCCCTTTTGGAAGGCGCAGCGGCGCTTGGGCCGGGGGCCATCATCATCCTCCTCCTCCTCCTCTTCCTCCTCCTCCTCCTCTTCCTCTGATGATGAAGAGCTGTCCAGCGTGAGGTCCACCACGTCAGCTCCTGGCTTCCCATTTTCAACATTGCCCACTGTGCTGACCCCACTGCTGGAGCCCCCGAGCACACTGCCACTGCCGTTGACATTGGGGGTGGATAGGAGCCCGTTGGTGTCCGAGGTGCCTGAGGACGACAGGGACAGATGCTCAGGAAAGTTGCTGACCCAGAGTGGGGAAATCAAGGTGGCAGGGGGACCCTGAGGCGTCATGTCTGCCTGACAGTGCACAGGCGCCCTGTGGGGCGCATCCTGTACAGGGCCCTGCACACAGGTGCTCAGTAACCACGTGCCACCTCTAACGCAGGGTCTTGAGCCCCAGCCTGCCCCACTCTGGGGGGATCGACTCCACCAGGATGGCAGGATAGTCAAACTCAGAAATTGCCAAGACCCTGGAATAGGGATTGGGGCAAACTATGGGGCAGTTGAGGGCCTGGGCTGGGGACTCACCAAGCACGAGGATAGGGCACTGGGGGCTGCAGCTGCGCTCCTTCTCGGCGCGGATTGGGCACCACGAGCCGTCCACCAGGTACTCAATCTCATCGGCGTCCTCACACTCACTCAAGATCTTGGAGAGGAGCCTGGGGGTAGGGAGAGCAGGGGGGCTGATTCCTAGGCCGGCACCCCTCCCTGCTCCCTTGGACTTCAATGGGATGCTCACTAAGCCACTTCCTTCTTTGCAACAGTGGCTTCAGAAAAGCACCAGCCAGGGCCTGGTGACCTGAGGTCCTGGTGGCGGTGAGGGGGGGGATGTATGTCTCTGTTGTGTGGGGCCTGCACATAACGGACCCCCCAAGAGGGTCTGCCAAGTTGCTTTGAGGGCCTACAGTTGTCCATTCATGGCAGTGACAGTCCTCCCTCCAACTGCTTGAGACCACAGGGCTTGGGGGGCCGCAGGACAGTCCTGTCTATCCAGCCCCAAGTGGCCCCTACCCTCCCGTCCCAATTCTGTGCTGCCCCCATTTTTACAGATGAGGAAACCGAGGCTTAAGGGAAGGTACATGCTGCTCAAAGCCCACCAGAAAGGCTGTGGGGTAGAATAGGGAGAAGTGGGACCTCCTGACTCCCATACAGATAACAGCATCTCCCAGACCATGCTCACAGCGAGCCAGGCCCAATGCAGCGTGTTCTGGCCCTGGACACCATTCCACTGAGGTCCTGCCAGCAAGGCCCATTTTAGAAATGGAGGAACTGAGCCCAGGGAAGCAGAGTGAGCTCCCTGAGGTCACAAGGCCAGGCAGTAGCAAGCCTGGGTTCCAGTCCTGCCCCCACCACTTCCAGACCATGGGGCCTTGGTCTTCCCACTGCAGGATGAGGTGGGCACAGCACCTACCATCTCCAGCAGCCGGGGGACCTGAGGAACTACTAATGCCCAGGCCAGGCCAAGCCTGGGGTAGGGAACACACATGCTGCAGTGGCAATGGATCCACCATGGCCCCCAGCATGTGTTCATTGTCAAAAATGGACCTGCCTCCAGGTCACTTTGACCACTTTGCTCACAGTCACACAGGGGGGAAGCTGTCTTGCTCCAAGACACCCTCTGGGGCTGATGGGTCCCCACCCTAAGGCCTCCCCTCCACTGCCATGCTCACAGACCCACCACCCCAGGGTCACCCTGTGTGAACACAGCTTTGCCTGCAATGCACTTCTCTACCTGGAAACTCCTACTCACCCTCCAAAGCCCCACTCTACAGCTCCTCTTCCTTCTCCAGGTGGAGCCTGAGCAATAGAATATATGGGTCTGGCTCAGTCCCCCCACCCCATCATGTTCAGGTGTGAGTTCCCTGAAGGTAGGGTCTGGGACTCAGTCCTTTTACAGATCCCTGGATCACCCAGCTCAGGGCCCGGGACAAGGTGGCAGAGCCTCAAGGAATAAATGTATGAATCAAAGACCCCTCCTCCAGCAAGTCTCCCTGGCTACATCCAGGCCCCATGGGTTTGCTGGGATCATGGTCTGTGTGGGGTAGAGCTACAGTCCCCATCCCTATCTGTCCCTGTAGCTGTCAGAGTTGCCACCACTTGAGACTGAGTGACCCACTCTAGGCCTATTGGGGTGGGGAGGGGTGAGGGGAGGCTGGCGCTGCCAGGTTGGAAACAGAGCTGCCATTCAGGCCCAGCCCTCATGCCTGGCCCAAGGGGCGTCCTCACTCCACCCCGAAGCTGGAAAGGGGGCTGTGGCTCAGCCCCTCCAGGGAAAGAGTTGGCTGAACCTGGGTTTGAGTCCTGGCCTGGCTACCTGAGGGATTCGGGGGAGCCAGGGCAGGCAGCTATCCCCTCTGAGCCTCAGTTTCCTCATCTGTTAAGTGGGGACGATCAAGGCACCTCCTGATACAGTTGGGAGGGCTTGGGAAGACCCTGAGCACGGTGACCAGAGACAATCACTTGAACATGGGAAGAAATTTCTGCCCAGCCCGTAGGTCGGAGGGGTCATTCCTCTCCCCACCTTGCACACACACCCTGAGTTGTGAGTCTTGGCCTTCAAGGGCTGGCGGGTCCAGAGTTGGCCGCCTGCACACCAGCTCCTGCCTGGGCCACTGCCTCTCCCTGCCCCCGCCCGGCTCTGGGGACAGGAGTGGGTGTGGCTGGCGCCTGGCAGGAGCTGCTCAGTCAGGTGCTAGGCTCAGTTTCTGGAAACCTAAGACCTGAGCAAAGTTTCCCTTTTGGGGAAAATGGCCTTCCCCCCTTGTCTCCGTGGTGTGGAGAGGGCCTGCTGATTAGGCCAGGGGACAGCCTGGCCGCACACCGGTGCCACCTAGAAAGGGGACAAGTGGGACATGAGAATTTGGGGGAGACCTGTGTACTTTTCACCTTCCCATGCAGAGAGCGTAACTAAGGTTGTGTTGAATGCAACTGAGGAAGCAACACCCTGAATCGTGCAATGGCTTCGAGGCTAGGGGTTCTCAGGTCCCGGTGTCATGTGGGGAAAAACAGACTCTAAGAACACAAGGTCACACGGGAACAGTGGACCTCCTGGGTCCAGAGCCCCTCTTCTGAACCCTAAGCTACACAGCTGCCGCCCACACAGCAAAGGCCCTGAGAAGTCCTTCAGGGACATTTGCCTCTTTGTAACCTGGGACTTTCAAAGCTGCCAAAAGGCACAGAGGCCTGGAAGTTGCAGGGCTCTGCTGCTCACTCCACAGAGCCCTAGAGAGGTGAGGTGCTGAGCCCAGTGCAGCCCAGAAGGTGGTGTGGTCCCCCTGCGCCCTGGTGACTCACCCGTCGATGATCAGCTGGTCGTAGGGGGCTGGCTTGTCACACACTGGGCACATCCAGGTGGGCTTCTTCTCATTCATCTGGAGGTAGAAGACGGCGTCGAAGCACTGCAGGTGGGCGCAAGTCTCTGCCCGGCAGGGCACAGACAGCCGCATCTTCACCAGCTGCAGGGGGAGAGGGCGTGAGCAGGGCTCTGGCCCAGTGCTGCCCACCCCAGATGGCTCCCACATAATGCGAAAGTGAGGGAGGGGACCGGCACACTGACTCACTGGGCAGATAAGGGAGACCCGCACGCCAGTGGTGGCAATCTCGCTGTCGGGGTCCAGGCGCAGCTTCTCTTTGACTGTGGAGAAGTGGGGAAAGAACAGAGGTGCTGCAGGGCCAGACTGAGACAGGTTTTCTCCACCACGCATCTGTGAAAAAGCCCTGGGCAGTGGCCACAAGTATTTCTGACAACAACCTGGGCGTATCCACTAGGCGGGCCAACCCCCCAACAAGCCCACCCTGCGGGGGCTTTTTACAACCCCCAGGACTTTGGGGGAAGATCCAGGCAACACAGCTGCCAACAGAGCTATTCAGTGTGCCTCTGTTAATTCTGATGAAAACCACCCCAAAGCTTCGCCGGGAGTGAGGCAAGGTCCTGCTCTGAGAGTCCCCACGAGGAAGTACAACACTCCCACCACAGACCCTGCAAGGGAAGGAGCACACCCACAAGTATGGCTCCCCTCACACAATCAAGTGTTGCTTCTCTAATAAAGATAAGGCGGCCAGGCGCCTACCACATAGCCACCCGCAACGTGGAAACTTGCTCACAACACACAAGGCTCCTTTCTCAACTGAACAGAACACAAGGCTGAAAAGAGTCTGGAAGGAAATGCACCCAGCGCAGCCTGGGATGGGCCTGCAGGGGGTGGCGCTTAGTCTCCCTTTTCCCACAGGTCCTGTTTTCCAAGGCAGGGAGACCGGCAGACAAAGCTCAGAGACGCAGGCAGTTAAACTCCATCCCCAGATGGCTCAGGACAAACTGACCCTGGGCCCTGTAGAGTGGAGGCTCCCCTGCTTGGAGTCGGAACTGTGTCCCCCTCTCCCCACCATGAATCCTGCATCCCTTCCTCCAGGGAGCCTCCTCTCTTCTCCCACTGGGCTGGCGTTGGGGGGGGGGGAGCATGCAGGCTTGTCCCCACCCTAGCCATTCACTCCTCAGTATGAATTTCCACCCCATAGTTCCCTTCTTTGGCTAACAAGTGCTAACGGCAGACTCAGAAGCCATGGCCCATCAAAAAGAATGGATGTGGTGTGCACTGGGTTTTGAAGCAAGGCCTGGCTTCTCCCCTGACAGAGAGAAGGCGTGTGCAGCAGGAAGGGTTCAAGTGAGACAAAGAACAGGACTTCCAGGTTGTTACCAGAAGTCCCAGTGGTGATGCTGCCCAGCCTGGGGCTGGCTGTGGAAAGGAAGCCAGGGGCTTCCTTCAAAGAGGAAACCTGGCCATCTGCCTCAGCAAGGCCCCTGGCTATCACATATGTCCCTATAGCTCACTGCTGCAGGACCCCTGGCTCATTACTGAGGGGTCAAGCCAGGCCTTGGCGTGCCCTCCCCCACCCTGTGGGCTGCTGGTGCCTGGATGAGCCCTGCCAAGCCCCCACACCAAGCCCTGCCCCTGGCCAACAGGCACTCTGGTCAAGTTGGCCATTGTCTCTACAGGGAGACAGGCAGGTGGCGGGG